TATAGATATATATATACTGTATATATATACTGTATATATATAGTTTTTATTAATTTTATTTCATTTTTAGATTTTGTTGTTTTAGTACACCAATAAGTGAAACTAAATTACAATGAGATATGTTGCCTTGGTAACTAGCTAAAATAAAACGTTTTATATTTCTTTTTATTTCAGTTAACGTTTATTTTATTTCAAGTAACAAAATAATTTTTTAATGGTTTTAATTTTAGTTTCAGTTTTAGTTAATTATAATAACCCTGATAATCCCATCCTATCTTTATCTTAAATAAAGTAATTGCTCAATACATCTTTAATATATTAAGAGATTTTGAGTTAACTAGAAAAAAAGTAGTTCACCACTAATCTGTTTCTCCCACCACCAAATACTGGGACACATGGCATCCGCAAATGCATCTCTGTCCCAGCTGATCACATTAAAGTGTAATTTACTTTATTGTTCTCAGTAGGAACTGAGTTTTCATATCCCACCCATTATACCCTATATTCCAGTGTAATCAAGGCTAGACGAGTGTCACATGAATCACAGACCAACTGCAAAAGCTAATCGATTTAAATTCGTTTCAAGGGAAGGAAAAAAAACATGCGCCTCATATGTAATTGAAATATGAGACAGACTCTTGATGGGGTGGACACGCATGCAGCAGTACACTAAATACCACACAAGAAAACTGAATTTGTTTGCAGCTCTAAATGCATAAAAATGCACGATAATCTTTCCTAAATGTACGCAAATTGATGATATAGGCTAAAGAATACACTTACTTTGGTATAAAGATTTCCGTCAATTGCTTGTTTTAACGCTTCCATTTTGAAGACATTGAAATGAGAGATGCACTTTTTGCACAAATGTCCTGTGTCGAATAACGTCTCTCTTTTCGTCCCAGTGGACTTGATGGAGTTGTATTCAGGGGGGTAACCGTTTAACGATTCTTTGGACCATTTTGACCGTAGAAGAGAGTTAGTGAGGGGTGTCGGGAGGGAGCCCGCGAACCCTGTCCAAGGTGCTGCATGGGAATCATCTGCTGAAGAGCCAGCGCCTTCGGGCGGGAGACGCTCCTTCTGCGCTGCGTGACCCTTGAACACGGGACCCATTTGAACGTTGGTCATCTGTAAATAAATATATATACACGTAGTACTTGTAGTTAATATTCAACTCAATATGAATCATATTTAGTCATAATGGAATACAGCTGACCTAACAAATGATGCATAGCCTATTACTTACAGCCATATAGAAGTAGTCACCTACTTACCATGAACCGCTCACTGCCTGTTGTTTCACAGTATCCTGTTTGATTCTTCATATTCTGAATAAATAGAGGTTCAATAAAATTATCTCAACGCGTCCTCCACAAGAAGTTTCCATTAATAACAAAAAAAAGAAGAAGCTGACTTCACTTGGAAAAGACTGAGACGCGATGTGCTCGTGGCACATGCAGTGATTTCGTTCTTTATGTTCTTGGAGAACTTGGTGATCCGGTGAGTAAAAGTAAATATTTGATTTCTGTTTACGCAAAAAGTCCTTGAATTAAATAATTCCTCGCGAGCCGTTCTGTAAGTTGCCGTTGTTTTTAATGCCCATTATTAAGTTTTAGCTTTCTTTAGGGAAACTGTGCAAGCAAGGTATATACGATAAAAAAGCTTTTCAAATTCATCCTTGGGTTGTTGTTGCATTATGTCTTCATCTTTTTTGTTCTCCGTTACAGTACCACCCACTTGTCATTGCTCTAAGGAATTGAGATCACAAACACACTGCTGTGGTTACCGTATAGTGAGCTCGATCATGAGATAGCGCCACCCATCGACTAACATTTACATCTGCAAACGGCAGTGCTGCCCACATGCGGATTTATTCCAAGTCACTGCAAAGATTGAACATGAGTGTTTTTAGTGTATTTGTATCATCACAGCACAATAAATTTTAATGACTGTGTGTGATGAAAAATTATAATTGTGTAGCTATTAGGATGTGTTGTGAATTCTGAGATAAAATACTTTTCTGTTTTGTTAAAGGTGCATAAATCAATCGTTTTTCAACAATTAAAGGGGTCATATGACGCGATTTCAATTTTTCCTTTCTCTTTGGAGTGTTACAAGCTCTTGATGCATAAAGAAGATCTGTAAAGTTGCAAAGACTAAAGTCTCAAGTCCAAAGAGATATTCTTTATAAAAGTTAAGAGTCAACCACGCCTACCTAAAACGGCTCGGTCTAACACGCCCCCACATGTCTAGGTCAAGATGTGGGAAGATTTGCATAATGCTGCCCAAATGTTCACGCAAATTAATTGTTGAAAAACTATTGATTGTCATACATGCAGCATCATATTTGAACATATATATATATGACTATAGTATTCAACTAAACACTTTGATTTTACCTTTTTTTTTTTTTTGCATAGCCAACAATTATTTATTTGAAGTAATTCCCGGTTAAAAGAACAGGTAGGTTTAACAGGTTTACCTATATATTTACCTAGGTAAACATTGAGAGGCTTATGATATATAATATAATTATTATTTTATAATAATTATATTATAAAAATACAATTCATAAGAGTGACATTTAGAAAGGTCATTATATCGTTTGTATGTGTATGTGTGCTCATTAAAGGATTTCACAATGCCAGTAAATCATCTTGAATTCACGAGCGAAAATGAGTAGACTCTGGTCGTAAGCATCTAGGAGGGTTATTACGGTTGAACACGCCCATTTTCCTCGATGCTGTTGCATTGGGAGGGGTCTAGCACCCAAGGCGCCATTGAATTGTTTTGCCGGTGAACAGACGCAGAATCACCGCGGCTGTGCGCAATTCAGAGAAGCAAAGCGGCCGTCGGCTCTCCCTGGATTGCAATATTCTAACGATCGAATCTTTTAGTTTTTTTTATAGTCCATCTACACTAAAACAACAACATGAGTGAAATCAACGTAAAAAAGCTTAAGGTGAACGAGTTGAAGGACGAGCTGAAGAAGCGCCAGCTTTCCGACAAGGGATTGAAGGCCGAGCTTATGGAGCGGCTGCAGGCCGCGCTCGATGCAGAGGCCCAGGCCGAAGAGGAAAACCCTGCCGCGGCAGAAGCAACAGAAGAAAAGGAGGCCGAGGGAAACGGTGTTGCAGTCGAAAAAAAAGACATGGGTGAAGAAGAGCTGGAGGGCGAGAGCATGGAGGCCGAGGAGCAAAATGGAGACGGGGGTGATGCCGCTGTTGTGGGTGATGGTCAGGACGATGAAATGGGCGAAGAGGAGGAGGATGGGGACGCCGGCGTGGAAATGGACAAAGCCCTCGATGGAGAAGAAGAGGAGGACGACGAAGACGACGAGATCATAGACAGAATCGACGATGAAGATGGTGAGCCTGAATCTCATCCATTAGAGGGTGAGTTTTTTGTGTTGAAACGCCGGGAGTATCGTGTTCACGTGGGCTTTGAAGCCGGTGAGATCATCGTTTAGCAGAGGTGGCTAACGGCTAACCGGTGGCTATTGTGTAGATAGCTAACGTGCTAATCCGGTCGTTCACGCGCTAGTTTGTGGTTTAGAGTTTAAATTGAGTTAGTGAGTTTAGGATTTTGAGGGTTTCTTTGTTTTAAGCCGTGTTAGCAAAGCTAGTCTAATCACCCGCGCGAGCCTTTTGTCTTTAGGAGTTTGTTGCTATTGTTTATATTTTGATACGGTTAAAGGTATATTTTAAACTCTAATGTACAATTAACGGCTTTATATGCTTTATCGCGTTGTTTTGGTCGGTTTAGCTAGTTTCAGAAACCGCGATTTGGCTGGCGAGAGAATGGCCTCGCTGCATGCTATGAGGCGGCTCGCCCTCGTGTGGACGTTGCTATGCAGAAAACCTTACGGCAGACAATGAACAAGTGCGGGGTATAGTGAAATTAATGCATTCTCAGCGGGTGATAGGATTAGGAGTAACGTTACTATAAAACGGCGAAAAATTATTTTAAAAAGCGTCGAAAGAAAGGGACATATATTAGTTTCGGTTCAGGTTGCTAGAAGGCGCCATCTACTTCCGTGCAAGGTCAGTTCAGGATACTACGTGTTGACGGTGTTCGCTGGTTATTTGTTGTTAAAGATGTGAGCATTGGCTGGTAAGCCAGCTACAGTATATATATAAAAACACGTATTGTTTTTTTGACTGTGAATGCATTACATTTGAGAGAAAAGCACTTTAAAACACAATTAAACAAAAGTAATTGCACCCACCCTCGTTTTTGTCTGGTTTGGTTTATGCAGTCAGATCAGTGCTTGCATTTTAAATCCTGAATGACATAACCAAGCAAAATATTCTGTCTGATCAGAGGTGGTCGGTTCATTTTGTAGCTCTGGTTGAGTCCGAGCACTCCTGTCGTGTGGGCCACCCTTAAAACCCAAGGTCCAACACGTCCGGGCATTTCATTACTGTTTGTTTTATTTTCAAAGGGGATGCGGACAAAGACATCAGTGCTGATCAGAAGAATAAGAAGGGTGTTAAGAGACGCCGGGAGGAACATGGAAGGGGCTACTTTGAATTTATTGAAGAAAGCAAATACAGCCGGTAAGGATGGAAGCAATGGCCTTCATTATCCCCGAAGTGCCACTTTTAATATATATATATATATTATATATTGGCTTTAAGTGCCAATGCCTTACCTAGAAAAATACAACCCTCATCTACCTCTTAACTAAAATAAAATTTTGTTGAGGGTCATTCCTGGCTAATACAAAACACCTTACCTTCAGTAAGATCATGAAACTACACTTCAAAGAGTGCTCTGATGGAAAAACAGTATATGTTGTTGTTAAACACACACACTCACACTGTTAGGCTGACTGTATGCGCGTGTGGCGAATCAGGCAGCGAACAAAGCAATGACGATAGCATGAGATGCGGCTTCTGTCATGGCAGGGGAGGGCCAGTGACGTAGAGTTTATATCGCAAAGTTTATCATGGCGTAATGGGGCGGTTAAGTAATGGTAATGAAGCAAATTGTTGTTTAAATCTTCATACGTTCCTTCGTCGTTTGTATTTTTATTTATTTATTTTTTCTTGAGTGTTTCCCCCCCCCCCCCTTT